CCCGCGTCTTACATATTGGGCATGAAATCGGGAGAATGGTTCACGTTCGACGCCAGGTTGGCGCCCCACCCGGCCGATATAAAAGCGGGGAATTACCACCTTTACTGCTACAGCGACATGGTAAGTCATCAGCTCGTAGGCGACGCCTACGCTCCGCTCTTGAGGACCGTCCCTATACAAGGGACGTACGGAGACGTCATGACGCAGTGTTTTAATCCTGCCTCGTATCTACCAGTCATCAAGAAACACAATGAAAGAATCCACGTTGAGATTAAGACCGATCAAAATAAGCCGGTAAACTTTACCTTTGGCAAGACTATCGTGAAACTCCATTTCAGACCCGCAAAGACCTCGTTGAAACCATGACCCCTTACCACGATCCTCGTCGTTTTGTGAGCTACTATGAAAACCAAGCGGGCGGAGCCCTCCCCGGTTTTTATGGCTCCCCCGTCATGTACGGACGAGGGATAGTGTCTATATTTTCAAGATTATTCTGTTTCGTGTCCCCTATCGTGAAAAAAGGTTTTGCCATCGCTAAGCCTCATCTCAGGTCAGCCGCTAAAAACATAGCCTCGGAGGTCGTAAGCCACGCCGTAGGTAAAATAACGGGTCGAAACTCTGATCAGACGTTTCAAGAAGGATCCGGGGGTATTATGGTTTTGGCCAGAAGAGCAAGAAAGAGACCTCCGGGGGAGCGCGTTTCATGAGGATCTAAAAAACGTCAGTCGGTACGAGAGGCGCTAAGGGAAACAAGTCTACCCGGAGCCCCTCAGCAGCGCCGATAAGGTCCGGCGATATCTTTTACGAAAAAAAACAAAAACAAAAACAAAACATGGCTCTTTTACATCACAAATTGGCCGAGTGCAGCATGGCGGAGCTGGATTTATTTTTGGCCCCCATGACGCAGCTGTCTATAGACGAAAAGCTCTATGCAGAGATTTTGCCTTTATCGGCCATTACCGACTCGGGGCCTATAGAGTTTTTCATTCCCGGAGACGGCGAAAAATATTTGGATTTGAACGACACCTTGCTACACCTGCGACTGAAAATTACCAAAGCGGACGGTACGGACCTGGATAATGATGTGCCCATAGGCCTCGTGAATTATCCTCTGAATACCATTTTCAGTCAGTGCGTCATTATTCTCGGCGATAGATTGATATCGCAATCCAGCGCCACTCACCCGTATAGAGCCATGATCGAAACCCTCCTCAACTTTTCAGAAGATTCTCTAAAAAGTCAGTTTACCGCCTGGTTATTTTACAAAGACACGGCAGGCTCAATGGATTCTGTGGTGACAAATAACTAGCGACGCCTTCTGTCTCATGCAAGCCGCTAACACTAATTTTAAATTAAAAATATCAAGCGCTTCTTTGTTTGTCAAGAAAACAACCGTTTCCCCCGCGGTGCGTCTGGGTCACGCGGCGGCCCTGTTGAGGGGTAATGCGCTCTCTCCTTTGTCCCGCGTCAACGTAAAAACGTACTCCATCCCGGAAAATACTCGAGTATGTAATCAAGAAAATCTAAGCCTTTACGGGAAAAAGTGACCTGTCGCCCTTCAACTTTGCTCACAACAATGTGGAATACTTGGCCCTCTGTCAGGACGGCAGACAGGTGCCCGCCAAAGCTTTCCAGCCTCAATTTGACCAAGGCCAGTCAGTCAGAGAGTTTTACAACATGTATACGGCCACGGGAAGACACCTGAAAGATTTGCCGCTGGGCATCGACAGGGAGGATTTTAACCAGGGGTACTCGTTGTTTGTGTTTAATCTCAACGCGGCCAAAGACGCAGACGCCTTGTCCCCCGTCTCCAACGGGTGCTTGAGGTTGGAAATGAGATTCAGAGTTCTCCTGCTTCATACAACCACTCTTATTGTGTACGTGTGTTATGAGAGTATTTTGGATATCTACTCCAAACTTCAAGTGCTGGTGGATTATTATTGAGAAAACAAAGAAAGGAAAGAAAGAATATGAATAACCACCAACTGGAAGGTGTCATGCGACATTTACTGGGAGATGCGTTTTGCGGCGTGTGGGCTTCGGACCAACTAC